TTTTTGAAGAAGTAACTATATAATTAATTGCCCAGCATTGGTCATTATATACTGTATTTTGCAGACAGAGTTACAGACTCTCTCCCAGACCACAGACTCATAATACAAGTCAGAGCTTTATAAAAAAAAAAAAGTTGTGTTTTCAAAATTGGAGTTCAAGTTATTTTTTTTACTTCCAATAGTGTTAACATACTACACAGGTCTTGAACAAGATTTTTTTAAATTTCCATTGTAAGTGGGCTAAAGCAGTTAATTAAAAGCGTCTAACATAAATGTAAATGCTGTAATTTGATTATTTTAATAAACATGTAACTTGGATGGATTCGATGCTGGCATCACCACAGTGCACACGTCTGATGTCGCTCACAGTGGTCCAAGTGTCCACTCAGGGAGTTTGTGCGTTCGCTCAGACACATGAAAAATTAGAGGGAACATTGTTTATGACCCTTTTGGTGAGCAGGAGGTCACACAAACGCACCCCCAAACACAAACACACACATTCTCACACATGCATTCACACGTGCGCACACATACACACATGGTACCTTATCTTTTATAACCATAGGGGGGGTTACAATGGGAGGTGCTTGTGTGTACTGTAACTGTTGTCAATAAAAGGCGGGAAGTGGAGGCCGGGCTCGAGGTCGTCTGTGGTTGGATTCAGAGTGCTTTCCTGAGACACCGACCGGGGCCTCCCTTGCGCTAGTAAAATCGCTGTTCGTCTTGCTTCCTTGTCGTTAACGGGAATAAGTTTCTAAACCAGCGGGGCCTGTGGAAGCGCAGACCCAACAAGTGATCTTAACAACAGAGTCTCGACTGGCTCCTTTCAACACGGAGAAACAGAAGTTCTGCTTCAAGACATGTCCAAGCTCCTCCCCCCTTCTTTTTAAGGCTGAGGGTGAGGATGGAGGAAAATGGAGGAAATTTGCAACGTTTCTCTTTCAGTCAACACCCAGCTCTCACGGCCGTAGGTCAAGGTGGGGCTGTAGATGGACTAAATAAATCCTAGAACATTCAGTTAGATTTGGACTGTTCTTCAAAACCTAACTGAACAGGAAGAGTGAACCTTCTCACCCGCCTTCTTTGAGCCAATCATCCTCGACATCACGCCTTTTAAATCTGTGCTCATTCTCCTTTTCGGACTCTTTTCGCGCATCCCACCTCCTCCCCATCTCCACCTCAGACAGAGCTCTATTCAAGCCTCAGTCTGCATCCTCAGCACCACTAGTGTATAGCTGTGTGCATGTGGGGGGGGGGGGATAAAAGCAGCTCTGCGTCTTCTCTGTAAATTAACGGCAGTTTGAAAAACGAGCAGGAAATAAATTTGCTCTGAAATGTGAGTGAAGGATCGGTGTGCAGTGTTCTCCTCTGTGTGCTTCTCCCGGTTTGCCCCGAGAGCTCGATAAGAGTCGGGAGGTGGAGAGGAGCAGCGGTGCGGGGGCGGGTTAGAGGGGGGTAATCATGGCCGTCAGTTTGATCTAAGAATAAAGAGTGTGGGGCAGATGAGGCGCTGACAGACAGGCTCCGTCCTCTCATGCCGGGGTGCCATCGCGAGGAGCGTCTGCCTGTCTGGGCGGCCGAGGGGTGGGTGGGGGGGTGGGGGTGTTTTTGTACTTCAGATTGGGAGACCCGCCTGCTCGCAGGTCGCTCAGAGCCCAGGTGCTGCTGCGGCCTCCATCAGCAGCAGGAATGTGGTGAAAACTGGAACGCGTAGCCGTGAGATTCCTCTTTGTTTGCCGCGGCTCCCCGCTGAGCCCCCCACCCCCCGCCCCCGCCGTTATTAGGGTTTTACAGAGTTTGGCTCCACTTTGGTATTATTTCTTTCCCCCTCAAAGTTCGTTAGCATTTTGGATTTAAGAATGCGGCGCGCGACGCCAGTTTCCCGTTTGATGTGTCGAACGGCACTGTGTTTTCAGCCGTGTCATTCCCACAGACAACAGCTTAACACAAACCGGCACGCACGCATCAATCACAGGTCCTGGAGCAGAGAATTGTTCCTGCTTAGCATTCAGCCGCGCTCGGCTAAGACGGCGGTAAATACCTCCACGAGACGGAAGGTTAGCCCCACTTCACACAGCGGCTCTGACTGCGAGGCGCATGTCATGTCTGCTCTTTAGCTGCTGCGCGGCGTGGATGTGACCTCTGTAAACTTCCAGACCTCGGCTAATGAGCACGCCAAAGTAGCACAAGATGGAGGGAGAGGAGGGAGTGAGGACTCCTGCACCTTTAATTATGATCAAGAGGTTTTCACCAAAGGACGGAGGCGTTCCAGTTCTGTTGCACTCGTAAATCTGGCCCCGGATGCCGTATATTGTGTCGAGCGATTACTGTACACCATTATGGTGCGTATTCGACTGCCTCTCCAGCACCTGATTTGCATAATTGGATCTTTAATGAAACTTGCCTTGTGGAACAAAAAATACAAAAAGAAAGATGAAAAAAAGTGTGTGGGGTGGGGGGTACACACACAAACCCCCCCCTCCAATGTTTGTGGTGAAATAAAGAGTTTTCAGAGGTGATGAACAGGAGGCGGCGAGTGACCGTCTGCGTCCCGGCGCTCGCACATCAGCAGCACGGCTACAAATCGGATGAGAAGTGGCTGTGAAAGCTGCACATTCCCAGCCAGGTCTCGCGGGTTAAGACTACAATAGCGGGATATTCTGTGGCCCGGGGGGGATTTCAGCTCCTCTGCTGTCGACACTCGTTGCACCAACTTGTTACTCAGGGAAGATGGCTCTTTTGTAGGGGAGCCGATTCCACGCTCGCCTGCTGGAATTCCTGTTGCAAATATTTTGACAAAGACTAATCAGCAGCCGTTGTTTTTTTATTCTCCTTTTTTTGGGGGGCGGAGCTCCCTGCATCCTCCCGTCGGCCTTCCAGGCACGAAGGTTCAAACCCCACCGCTGCCTTTGCGGCGGCGTGCGTCGCCCAAAACTGAGATTAAAATAGATAAAGAAATTTT